AATTTGTATTTGTTATTTTCAAGGAACGGAGATGGAATGTAAGTGTAATAGGGTGTCGTATCTTCGATTAAGTTCATAAGTGTTGCTAATTCTTTGTGGATGATTTTGGCGGCGTTGTCGTGTCTAGCTTTGTAGTCAGTTTGTGCTAGGATGCTGCAGGAAGAGATTATGTGCTGGATCGTTTCAGGTTTTACTTTGCAGAGGCGACAGCAGTCGTTTCTTATGTTCGGATCTTTGATGATGTATTTTCTGTAATTCTTGGTATTGATTACTTGGTCTTGAATAGCAAACACAAATCCTTTTGTTTCGGCATACAAACTTGATTTTTTTAACCAAATCAATGACATCTTCTTATTGACATGAGTTTCTTCTAAGTCTTTGTAGAATTTTCTATGTAGTTGTTTTTGTTTTAGCCCACTTATTATTTTGTCTATTGTGTAGGGGGTGTGGATTTCTTCGGTGTTCGACAGATTTAAGGGTGTGTGGTTCAAATCTGCTCTTGTGATGGTGCGAAACATTTCATTTCTTTCCGCTCGTTTCAAGAAATACTTCTTCAAATCTGAGATTTGTCTCTGATATAAGTTTTCTAGGTTCTGGAAACCCTTTTCTCCATTCTGTCTTGGTAATGAGAATCTTTCAATCGACGATTTTGGATGATGCCTTCTATACTGTGTGAAGATTTTTCTTGTTGCGATGTTTAAATTTTCAAGATCAGTTTTGGACCATTTAATGACTCCAAAAGAATATGTTAGCAGTGGAACGCAGAATGTATTTACTGCTTTCATTAAATTTTTTCCATTTAACTGTGTCTTCAATATTAATTTTAATCTCGCTAGGTATTGATCTTTCAACTGTGTTTGTTTTCGTTTTGGTATGATTGATGTGGGAGGATTGACAGAAACCCAGATATTTGTATGTATATGTATCGTTTCGTTTTTGGGCTTCGATTATTTCCTTATTCTGGGTTATATGTGGTACTTGGTGTTGGACGCCTTTTCTGATTGCTTGGGTCTTACATTTCTCAATACCAAAAGACATACCAATATCACCGGAAAATTGTTCAGTCAGATTTAATAGGTTTGTTAACTGATTTTGTGTACTTGCATATATTTTCATGTCATCCATATACAGCAAGTGACTTATTCTGTTTTCTCTTTGTTTGTTAATTCTTATATTGAATCCATAATTGCAGCTGTTCAGGATATCGGAGAGGGGATTATTATTATTAATATTAATATTATTAATTGAAATGTCGATCTTTTTTTCAAAGTTGAAATTACGCCCGTAAAATGAACTTCTATTTAGCTCATTTTTCGGTCTGCTACTGGGCACCCTTAAGTGCTTTAAATATATTTTAAATTGTTCGTACGGCGCAGGGGTTGCGGGGGTCTTATTTATGCCGCGGGTATTTATTTTACAGAGGTTATCACAAAACGAAAATCGTAAACCAAATTTTATAATTTTTGTAAAGAGCTGGATTTGTCCAATTATATTTCAAGGGCGAGAGAAGTTCTGTCGAAATAGCTTTTTTTAAATTTTTGAAGAAAAAACTTTAAAATAATTTTGATTTGTAACAATCATACTAGCGCATTACCGTAACAAAAAATTTGTTGATAACAACAGAATAAATAAGTTCACAAAATGATTAATTCAGAAGAACTCGACATTTACGGTGAAGCTGCGGAAGCAGTACTAGCGAATTTAGTACCTGTTAAATCAAAAAGCAAGTACGAAAAGTGTTACCAATACTTCAATGATTGGAGAACAACAAAAAATACCAAAAAAGCGGATGAGACAGTGATGCTGGCTTACTTTTATGAAAAAGTTACTACGGTTTCTCTTTATTTAATTATCAATTTAATACCTGTTTTATTTATAGTCGGAAACTTTAAAGGTGTCGACGTTATGGTCGATGTACGTTTTCTAACGTCACTATTTGTACTTTCAATAGTTTTGACGTCATAAACATAGATATTACACAACGCAAGAGAAAAAGAAAAAGAAAAGAAAACGAAAGGCCAAGTTTGGCATCGAACGCTGGACCACCGGTCCACGTTCCGAGCTCTTATCGACTAAACCACGATCGGGATATCTTGCATTAATGGTATATATATTATACTGTGCATATGTTTTTGCGAAAATTTGGACGGTTAGAGAAAAAACTCAAAACGGATTCGTACACCACACGTATAGGAGTATATTGTTGTATAACAGTTAAATTAAATAAACATATAATTCTTTGAAATGATGTTATCAAATTGTTGCTGGGGATAATTAGCAAAATTTTGGTTAACGTTTAACCATCTATATGATTTAATATACTTATATACAAGATTTGGAAACAATCGGTCCAGCAGTTTCGGAGATTACGTGTCTAATAAAAATGGATACAGACACTAGACAAACAGACAGACAGACGGAGACGGGAGACTACTTTTTCGTACTGTAGGGGTCATGAAACGTCGAAAAAATATAAAAGTGGTCATTCATCCGATGGACTCGATTGCTATAGTTTAGCATATGCTCGGGAAATAGAAATGCAAAAATCAAGCACGTTACAGTTTTATGTTATTGAGTTGCATTTTATATGTTTTTTGGTTACGTACAGTTTATTCAAACTTCCCAGTTTCGAAACATGTAGTAAACTACTCATTCTAGGAAGCATTTGTCATCTAACTTTAGAAAAGCGATAAAATACCAACATTTCATGCTAAAACTGCGTGATTATATTGCAAAAATGATCGATAACTGCTTGAGTACTCAATTAAGAAAAAATTTAAATCAAGAATAATTTAAATTTATACGACCCTGTTCTATTTCCGTTTGTGTCATATTGATCTCAGAGAGCTAATTTTAAAAAAATAGTTGGATTGGTTGATAATGACATGATTTGGAATGCTTCCATCTTGCACTGTTGTCACAGAATTAAAAGGGTAAAATGACGTGTGACCTGCGGAAAATTTTTGGCTGGTCAACAGATAACAAGGTAATGCGATGAGATAATAAAACGTAGTCATATACCTAATCAAATAATAATATGATAAACAAGAAAATTCATTCAACATGTATTTTTGATATACTTATATGTAGCTTTTTAATTTTTTTCTCGTTAAAAATTGTAGGTCACTAAATTATGATGTAATAAAATTTTCGAAGAGTGATAATTAAATCAGTATTTAAAAAATATATTTTTAACTTCACATAGAAGTTAAATGTCATTAAAACTGAATTGTTAAATACGTGAACTATTTGAAGAAGCGAAAACTCTAAATTGACAAGAAAGGAAAGTAGTACCGAAGTATGGAAGGGATACCGACAAACAAACTGATACGAGTCAAAATTACTTTCAATTAGCAAATAATTCATGTATTATAAATCGTCGAAAATAATCCACTAACAAATGTACTTGACCTGTTGTAATTGTAAACAAATCTGAGAGTAAAATTGTAGCGTACTTTTATGTTGAATAGAAAAAAAAAATGCCCATTAAGTTACAAAAGCCACGGTTGTCAGACGTTTATTATTAAAAACACTTTAGAGAATACTTTACTATGAGGTCAGTTAAATTGAACATGGGTAATTGTACCGACTATTCATACGCGAAGGAAAAAGTCATAGCGTAATAGGTTTTAACTTATAATTATAAACGTCAGTTTTTTAAGGACACTATGAGCAAAAATGACTTTAGGGAAGCACTATAAAAGTAGTACCTACCTACATTCTAAATGCCTGGAAATAGCACGTATGATAAAAATTAACATTAAAATAGTGTGTTCAAATGTGACCATCTTTACTATCTATACCTTATACCTTACTCACAATTTTTAAGTTCAAACTAGTAAATTCAAGCATTTTTCGCGTAGTTAATATATGTTAAATGTCGCTTGTTTAGTCGCAGTCGTTCAAAAAATAAAAAAGGGGAAACTTTTGAAAAGCAGTGTATGTAGTGAAAACTTGGGGAAAATAATTGCAAGAGAAAAATAATTGCAAGAAAAAAATAATTGAATATAATTTATCAGTGTTAGACATATTTAATTTATCGATTCTACTGAAGCAGGAGATGTTTACAAGATTTATCACATCCGATAACCTCTGGAAGAACGATCCTTCATTGTTTGACGAAAATAATCCCATCGATCTTCAAATGACAAACTAATAAACAGAAATTAATTTAATATTTTCACTAAAAAAATAAATGAAATAATTAAGACCAGCATCATCTTAATAAAACAGTAATAACAAGAAAATGTCAACGTACTTGATTGTCTCTATGGGTTATTTATTGTTAATTTATTTACTATTATAAAGTCCGACAGTTTTTAAACAATATTCTAGATAATTCCAACTGATTGAGTTTTATCTAGTTTGGTTAACATTGGCTTAAAATTGGAAAACAGAAATTTTGTAAAGCACATAATCGTTTCCCAAATCAAGAAACGTCTTTAATTACTATATTGGTTAGTAATAATGGTTGTCGCGGTATGAATTCAGAAAAAATAATATCTGAAAAGATAAAGCAATAAATCCTAAATAATTTAAAAAATCTGCTTACATTAAAATAATTTTTGCCATAAAGTTTCTGACGTGGGTTGCTGTATTACATATCTTTACGAGATCACGTGATTGGATCTTTTTATATAAGTGGTGCACGCTCTGGAAGTTTCAGTTTAGTTGCGTAAATTGTTGATAGGTGTAGCGCTTGAACAGCGCTAACAGTTTCGTATTTGATTTTATTTGGATTTTTTGTTTTGTTTATACTTTTTAACATGTAAGTACTGCTATAACTACACTAGGCATTATTACTTAGTTTAAAAATTTTCAGAACAAAAATTATAAAAAAAAATACGAACATTCATCAAATATTTTTTTACTGTAAATTTGAACTTTATATTTTTACTCATACCGTTTCCGCATTAAGGTGTGATTAAATGATTTATGTAAGGAATAAAAAAAACATACGTTGCAGCGTGTGGTTTCTCGTTTCACGGTGCTAATGTAATCTAAATTTAATTCAAAACTGCCGACAAATTTAAATAGAATTATCCATATTTAATCGTAACCACAAATCACACATTGCCCTCGTGTACCTTTCGTAACAATTTATTCTTCTGAAATCTTGTGTTTACACCTATTTCAGTATTCAGTAGACCTACACAGAGTTGTTTATTAACAAGAAAGTAACCGGCTGTTCACGTATCATTCACGTGTACATTTAAACACAACAACATTCCTATAGATTGCTTTCAATACCTGTACGTTTGCCACTTACTCATGATTAATGCTATTCCCGATGGATGTATTTTTGGACGGATTTTTCTAGAATTCTCTTACGAAATCGGAATCCTTTTTGAATTTTTAGGTGATTCGCACACTTTTTTTGAAAATGGTACGAATGAAAAAACCAGGCATAATGAGAGTAGTATATTATCCAGTGACACTATAAAAAATATAACACATGTTTTTCGTTCCTGACCTGTCATATCGCAAAGAAAATCATCGTTGGATTGTAGAATAATGGTCGGGTATACTTCAAAATAGTTTTTGTTTGGTTCTTTTCAAGGAGAATGGTGATGTTTATAAACATTTACGTCACGCTTTAGTGTGTTTCTGTGATCAAGGTATTGACTTAGACTCGACTAATTAAATTAGTGTTGTTTTTTAGTCGTTTTCCCATTGTCAGTGCAAGACCAAAAATAGGTATGTTTGAAACGGTAGTTTCTCTACACTTGATTACTTAGTTAATGTTTATAAATTTTAAATTGGTAGTGTAAAAATAAATATTCTAATTATAAAGGTTCCAACTAGGGCACTAGATTGACACTGTAATTTATATTATACAGCGTGTTATTGAAAGGTACGTACAAAATAAAATCGGTAATTGGTCTCGAAGTATGGGTGCTAAAAGTAAAAAAAAGTTCAGATAAAAGTATTCTCCTTTTAGAGATAAAAATTATTAAAATTTATGTCCAAATTCGTTGTACGCCTCTGATGAAAAGGTCATCGTTCGTTTCTATAGCAACAAAAGGGTCTCTCATTTTTTTATTATTGTTACAGTTGCTAGGATTTACTAAAATAAATTAATTTTACCTATTTATCCGTCAGTAGCGTCTAACAAGTTTGGATAAGGGTTAATTTTCCCCTTATAATTTTGATAACACAAAATAAGTTTTTCAGACTTCTTAGACTTCCCGAAGAACTGTCAGTTTTGTTGTACGTACCTTTCAATAACACCCTGTATGTAATTAATTATTATTAAGTCTTAACTAAACGTCAACTTACAGGCGGAAACGAGTTGTAAGTTGTTGATATCTACGTCTTATACTAACAATTTATAAAACATAAGTACCTTGTTGCAATTCAATAAAAACCATGTTAAACATGTTTTGTTAGACACATAATCTCCGAAAGTACTGAGCCGATTGTTGTCAAATTTTGTCTTTATATTAGGAATTAATGTAGACGGTAAAACGCTAACCAAAATTTGTCTAATCATCCCCACCAACAACGTGATGACATCCCCTTAAAATTTTCTCCAATAAATATAACTTGAATTTCATAAAATATTGTACTCCTACACTCGTGTTTTATTATTATTATTATTATTATTATTATTATGGTTTAAACATCGTTCTCTCTTGCCACATAATATACGACTTTGCATGCGTAGCCGGTGGCTCAGTTGAGTTGGAGAATGCGTTGCAATTGGAAGTCCTGGGTACGGAGCCCGACACTTCCAGCTTTTTTTGCCCCTCAAATAAAAAAAACACTTCCAATTTTCGCGACAATAATGTGACAATAAGATATTTTTATTGTTTGTTGGTATTACACTGCAGTTATCCGTGCGCTTAATAATGCATTCATAATTTTCTATTATTGTTACATAATTTGATACATCAACCAACGCATTGGATGTTCTAGATAAAACTAAAGTATGATACATATATGAATGTAGAAAAAAGTCTCCACAGGAATCTCTAATAAAACTCAATCCTGTCATTTGCTTATTGGCGAAGTGACCATCGCGCCCAGATATATATCAACAATTCGCTCGATTAAAAATAAGCACTTCAGTGGCGGGTACAATTCTAGGCGTTTCCAATTTGTTTCCCTTCAAATCAGAAACAGCACATCCCATTTTCACAATGTGAGAATACAATAATAGATATGATGTAATGTTATTATTAGATACACTGTAGTTATCCATATGCTTTACAACGCATTCATATTTTTCCATTATTGTTGGTACGATACATCAAATACAGTGATGTAATAAACAAAACGAAATTATGATTCATTAATGAATGCTCATTAAAAAATCTCTCCAGAAAACTATAAAACGATAACATATACTGCGTCATTTGTTTATCGGCGGAGTGACCATCGCGCCCAGACATATATAAACAATTCGTTCGAATATCGTTGACCAAGACAAAGGTGGATGTTGTAGCCTAATAAGTAAATAAATGACATGTGGTAGAGAAACAAAAGAAATACTATAGCGTATCAAAACGAATTTATATGATCTCATTTACCTTCTTAGGCGGTTACTGTTATTACGTATCTATATTTATTTCAATGTATAGAGGTTATCACGAATGCAAATTCTCAAAATCAATTTTTTTAATTTTTCAAAGAAGCGGGGTTTGTTGCACTGCACTTCAGGGGCTACGGAAGTCCTGTCGGAATAACTCTGTACCAATTTTTTAGAATTCCCTGTACAGGTGACTCAAAAAAAATGAATGAATGAGTCAATTCATTTTATTGATTTAATCAGGAACCGTTCACTCCATTTTGAAAGTCTAGAGTAAAAATTCAATAGGGATTCATAAATCACACAGGCAGGAGTCGGCCATTTAAATTTTAATCCAATTGACTAGAATTTAACTCTAAACTGCTTTAGATAGCCATTTTAAAAACATACGATTATTTTGACGTAGGATTTTAACAAGAACAAAGTGACATAAAAATTACTAAGAATTTGCCGCGCAACACCGTTATCAATCTCGTAGTTAAAACACCCACCGTACTTTTTTAAATTTAGTGGGTCCATGTTAAAAAATACATAATAGTTAATCCACAAGTTTAATCCTTCTACAAACAATTCATTTGACTGAGACAAGGGCAACGCCTATTAAAAATTATTAGTAATTTTAAAACGGAGGAGAAAGAGTTGCAGAAAAAATTCTTCTGTTGAGTGAAGCATAAATCTATGTATGCAACTGGTACATAATCAGGCGTTACTGTACTCACCCTTTTAATTAGACTCACTGAAGTTGAAGGACTCAAACTGTAAGGACTATTCAGTCAATATGTCTGAAATACTTACAAAAATATTGATGCAGCCAAAAAAGAATAATTTCAAATGACATACATTATGCTGTAACTAATTTTCTTTGTACTGATTTATACACTTCAATTGATTGTTTCCTTTTTTGTTAAGTTTAGTCACTACAAAGAGTTCTATTAAAATAAAAAACACTCTAATTAGACTGAATTTATAACCTCAAAAAATTTATATAGTGTACTTTCAGTTCGTAAACATACGAATGCTTAGTGCGTTTGCAGCGGCAGTAGAGGAATACCGGTTAAACATTTGGAGTTAGACCTTTACATTTTAATTTGTTTACCCAAGATAATTAACGTACACAACAAAATCCTTTTGCACATTTCATAAACATTTAGAAACATACTTTTTTTCGCCGTAAAATACTTTTATAACGCTATTTCTCTTTTATTAAAAATTTTATAACTATTTTCCAAAAAACATTTATTTTGACGAAAAAAAATTCATAAAGATCGTGAAAAAACAAATTTTTCTTTATAAGTTTTTTGTTTAGACATTATAAAAATCTACGGACACCCTTTGCAATGTTTTCCTATGTACAGCAAAATATAATTTTATAATTTTTCGAAGAAGCTGGATTGTTGGACTGTACTAAATACATGAGTAAAGGAATATTATGTCTAAATAACTTGGGACCATTTTTTTGTTTCATTTTTCATTTTTTATATATTTTTTTTTTACAGATAACTCTTTAATGAAGATGATGAGTCGCAAATTAGCCATGCCTCTGCTGGGGGTGCTGCTTTGGGTGATCTTCATCCACGCAGGTACCTTCGCTACGGCTACGCTACTACCACAGCCAATAACAGGTACAAGCCGCACTTATACCACATTAATCATTAATTTCTCTAAGTGTGCGTGTAGTTTATTTTTTGATTATTTGCTCTATATTTTAACACTAGTTGTCCATTTTTTATTGATGCCCGTGAAAAGTCAGACTATAAACACACGCTATTGAAACCCCACAAACTTCATTCTGGAGAAATTAAAAATCAGCTAAACGAAACTAAAAAAAGTCATCTGAAAGCTGGTAACGTTTGATTGTGATTTGTTATTATTTGATTTTGTCTAGTTGTTACAACCGTTCTCTTTTAGGTTGTTTAAAAACGTCTACCAGATAGACTATTAAAATGTCAGACTTTTAATAGTTCTGTGATAATTTTTCCAACATTTTTAATGGAACACAATTTATTTGCGTATACAAACAAAGGATTTTATCCTGTTTGTGAATTATTTAAATTGAGGTAAGATTGTTGCCCTTGTTTATTGTAGTGTTGCGATATTGCGAAATGCACAAAAAAATTTTAGACTTTAAATTTATGTTCTTCTTAATGAAATATCAAGTCTGAAAAATTCTTTTTGTGGATACTGCAAATCGTGAATATTTCTGTCTTAAGAAGCAGAAATATTTATGGACAAATCTCACAGAATGTTGCGTTTATTAAAACGTAACAACTTAAATGTGGTCACTTCCAAAAATTGATTCAACAATTCAACATCATTCCATAAAATTTTATTACCCATAAAAATAATTGGTGGGCGATTAGTACTAAAGTTCGCATTTTTAAGCTGTTGCGTTACAAAGTAATTTAAAAACAAAACACCTTTATTCTGAATCTTAAGAAAAGTTTCCAAGGGTGTTTATTATAATAGGCACAATAAGTAAATTTCTGTTATTTGTATATGTGCTCAAGTAATAACGAAATTGTGTTTATTGTGCCGTCTTCTAACTACCTATTATGTATCGAAACTAATACTTTCGTCATTATAGGGATCGGAACACCAACCAAAGGAGATCAAAGCATAATACGTTTACATCCCGATGGGCTGAAAATCACAGAGAAAGATTTGAATCGTTCTGTTTCGTACGGACACAGCATTGTTAATCGATTATTGAGACTAGAAACGAACCTAGCATGGTCAGACGTTCACGTAAAGAAAGGAACGCCATCTCATGGTCAACTTATCGTTTCCAATCCGGACGAAGAGGCTTTGAGGCAAGGACGCGAAGCCTTAGTAGCTTCTAAAGCAACCCTTCATTTGATGAACATGTTCTGTCATAAGTATGTTAATAATTGAACTGATGATATGTAAATTAATTATCGGTGTTTTTAACTAGGTATCATATGTCTCCCTCTGATTGTGCCAAATACATAACTTCATATACATTCGTTTCGACACCGTTAGAGTCATCGTGTAAAAAATTCCACAAATCATGTAGCCAAGAAGACATTCTGTCTTCGTATCGTTCGATTGATGGGTCATGCAACCATAAGTTTGACAGTACTCAAGGGTCGGCCTTTACCTCGTACAAAAGACTTCTCTATCCTGACTACTTGGATGGGATTCAAGCACCTCGGAGAGCAGTTAGTAAGAAAGCGTTGCCTTCGGCACGACGTATAAGCGCATCATTGGTAAAAACTGGCGGTACTGTTTTTGATTGGACGTTGGCTATGCCAGAGTGGAGCCAATTTGTTGAACATGACTTAAGTCACACGGCTACCAGCAAAATGGGTTCGTATCTTATGATAACTTACTTTTTATCTGTTAATTGGTTGTTTAGTGCACAGTGACAACACTATTGAATGCTGCGCGCCCAGCGGTAATCATCTGTCCCCGAGATATATTCATCCTTTCTGTTCGCCGATTTCAATACCTTATGATGACGAATCCTACTCTCAACATGATCTAGACTGTATGACGTATGTCCGATCAGTTCCTGCGTTTCCTACTGATTGTACTTTTGGACCTTTGGAGCAAGTAATACATTGTTGTCTTAATAAAATAAAAATATAAAATGACTATTGCATTTAGGTAAATCAAGCTACTCATTATTTGGATGGTTCTCAAATTTATGGATCTACGATGAAGAGATCGGCGGTGTTGCGCTCTTTTGAATATGGCCAATTAAGGATGACTGAAAAGTTCAAAAAGATGTACTTACCCCTTTCCACTCACCCGACTGATGACTGTCAACTGACCGATGACGATACAGTGTGTTTCATATCGGGGGATTCCCGCGTCAATGTTGTACCTCAGTTGACAGCCATTCATACCTTGTGGTTGCGTGAACATAACCGAATTGCCAAAGAATTATCAGGATTGAATCCATCATGGGATGACGAAATTCTTTTCCAAGAAGCCAGGAGAATTGTTATTGCCGAAATACAGCACATCACTTACGATGAATGGCTTCCACTAATCTTGGGCAAAAAGTACTTCAATAAAATACAAAAATACAGTAACTATGATGAAAATGTGAATCCATCAGTTAGCAACGGTTTCGCGACTGCTTCAGTACGTGTGTTTAGTACACTAATAGATGGAAATTTAAGGTACCATGTATTTTAATCTTCGGTTGTCTCTTTCAACAAAATATTTACAGATTGTATAAAGAAAACCGTCTAGTTAATTCATCACTAAATCTCCGCAACCATTTCAACAACCCCAGTGTTATTGAAGAACCTCAGTATTTGGACGCTCTTATCCGAGGCTTAGCCACGCAGCCTAGTCGTAAACTTAACCTCCGATTTGCCGAAGATGTAAGTCTGACGTAAATAGTGATCATTATTTCAATGAGTAATCCACAGATCTCCACTCATCTCTATTCCAATGGCGCTTATGGCTATGATTTGTTTAGTTTGGACATTCAAAGAGGGCGCGACCATGGTCTACCACCCTACAACTCTTACCGTACTTTATGCGGTCTTCCTGAAGCTAGAACATTTGACGATTTAAGTGATGTCATGTCTGCGGAAGTTATCAATTCATTGTCAGAAGCGTATGGTAGCCCTCGAGATATAGATTTGATAGTAGGTGGAATTTTGGAACGTCCAAGTTCCGAATCACTGTTTGGGCCAACGTTTTTGTGTATTTTCGCTGATCAGTTCCTCAGGACAAGGCGTGGAGATAGATATTTCTACACAAACGAGTATCAACCGGCTCCATTTTCAAAGGCGCAGATTAGGGAGATAGAAAAAGTTACTCTTGCCAGAATATTTTGTGATAATGGAGATGACATTCAGCAAATGCAGAGGAATGTGTTCAAAAAAATATCGCAAAGGTTAGTATTAAGTTATTGTTTGTCCAAACATTGACATTTTATTTATTTATTTTTTTTTTTTGTAGTAATAAGTTGTACGACTGTGATAGCGATTATATTCCAAAAATGAATCTAAAAGTCTGGATGGATAGTAGGAGGAAGTACTATTAGTGCCTTAAGTACTTTACTACTTAAGTTAGCATCAGTTCAAGACTGATTTTCAATGGCTGTTTAATTAGATTTAACTTAAATTTAATACTCTTATTATCACAGACATGAATCTGAAAGAGGCTCGTTAGTCTTTTTTAATTTTTAAGTTATTTAAATTGGGATTGTTCATATTACTGAGAATCATTGTGTGACCTTATTTGTTCTAGAAGAAATTTTATTTATTTTTGTTACCTTAAACAATGAATAAACATGAAAATGTAGTTGATGTGAAGTTTGTATTGCTCAGTAGTTTTTATACATGTCATAAAACTTGTGCAATTTTATTTATTGTTGTATTTAGTTATAAGGTCAGACTATATTAGTTTGACCCGGAGGTAATGTAAGTACAATTTTATATGTATGTAATGTGGTAAGCTTTAAAGATGTTTTCTACATGGCGAAAATTCGAATGCAAATAATACTGTTTAGTGTTTGTGTTTTATTTTTTTTTATCGAGATCCCAATTTACAAGTCTAAATTTATAATTCAAGAAAATGTGTAGCTTTGTGTTTTTTTACAGCGTGCGAAAAAACCATCAAGTAGATCGTATTTTTAAAACTTGGAAAAAATTTAATACATGGGTAGACCCATTGCAAATGTAAGAATGATTATTAATGTGTGTTAAAAGTGAGATCTTATTTTCTGAGTACGGAAGTTTAACCAAGTGACAAGTGAACAAAATTTTAAAATTCGGAAAAAATTCAAAATTTGGCCTTGAACTATAATCGTCAACTAAAGTGGAACACTCGGCCGGCTAAGAACACTACGAACTACGATGTGTGTGTGTTTTTTTTAATGGCGGACTGCGTTCGTTCATACAAATTAGCACTCAGCGGACCGAGAATAGTGAAGGAATTAAAAACACAATAGAAAAAAATTGGTCTAAAGAGTTTAGACAGTACTTACCTCGCTGTCGGAAACGTGACGACTGCATGCCTATTATGTTTTTTTTCGCAGTGGATTTCAAAGAATTCGGCTTTATAGTTCCTGAGTAAATCTATAAAATAAATTTACGCATTCACCCTGTATATGCAAATCCAAAAAATATGAATGGAGTGATAGATAGAAGCAAATATATTTTGACTAAACATTTATTATGCTCTTTATAACCTTAAAACATCTGCAAGATTTCAAAGCATTCGGTTTAGTAGTTCCTGAGTAAATCAGTAAAATAAATTTACGCTTTCATAAATTTTTTTGACTGATCCTGTATATGCAAATCCAAAAAATATGAATGGAGTGATAGATCACAAGTACAGACTCATCATATTTTGTACATTTTAGATATGATTTATTCGGCAAACTTTTGAGCTGACGTCATCAAGTTTTTGGAGGGGATAACCAAATAAATTTTGACTAAAGATTTATGATGCTCTTTATAGCCTTAAAACATCTGCAACATTTCAAAGCATTCGGGTTAGCAGATTCAAAATGTTTTTTTACAGTTTTGATTTTTTTTTCCAAAAATCTGGACGTTTCGGGTGAAAACTCATTCGGAATTGTAAACTACATGTGTAGGACTATGTTCTTTTATACAATTTAAAACCCATTTACTATGTACAATTTTGAAGTGACGTCATCGCATTAGTGGTGGGGATGACTAGACAAATTTTGGCTAGCGTTTTACCATCTACACCATATTCCTAATATAAATACAAAATTTCGCAACAATCGGTCCAGTACTTTCGGAGATTATCTGTTTAATAAAAGTCCGGGACGGCAGACAGACGGACAGACGGACAGAGGGACAGACGGACAGACGGACAGACAGACGGAAATGGCAGACCTATTTCTTCGTCTTCTAGGGGTCATGAAAGATCGAGAAAATGTAAAAGTAGAGAGTTGGCCGACGGACTCGATTACAATACTCCCTTTGCTTAAGCAAATAAAAATATGTCCCCCGGTTTCGTCTGTCTGTCCGTCTGTCCGTCTGTCTGCCGTCCCGGATTTTTAATAGACAGTTAATCTCCGAAAGTACTGGGCCGATCGTTGTCAAATTTTGTATTTATTTTAGGTATATCATGTACAGTGAACCAAGAGCTATAAGGTTATATGGCCATCATAAAATCATCCCATTGTGTCGAAGTTAAGTTGTTTACAATAGAAAAGGTTTTAGGGTCGTAAATAACAAGTCCACTACAGCTCGACCGGCTCTTGCGGTTTCGTTCAGGGGCGGCTTTCACTAAATATGAAAATCCACCACTCCACTATTTCTTTGCTACCTGCAGCCGCTGAGTGTTCCGAAATAACCACTCGCTTTGAAAGCCGGCCCTGTTAAATATGAGCAAGAAATGTTTAGAAGATGATTTATTGCCAACCGGTAAGCTTAGTGCGAACTACACAAAGGGGGTATTTATTTGCGGTCAACTAATTTTATGATGGCCATATAACCTTATACCTCTTGGTTCACTATAGATGGTAAAACGCTAACCAAAATTTGTCTAATCATCCCCATCACTAATGTGATGACGTCACTTCAAAATTCTACATAGAAATTGGGTTTTAAATTGTATTAAATAACATAGTCTTACACATGTAGTTTATGACTCCGAATTGAGATTTTACCCGAAACGTCCAGATTTCTGGAAAAAAAATTAAAATTATGAAACAATATTTTGCAATTTAATTTTAAATCTGCAAAACCGAATCCTTTGAAATCTTGCAGATAATTTACAGTTATGGCAAGCAAGATAAATTTTTAATCAAAATATATTTACTTATCCCCTCCAAAAAATTGATGACATCAGCTCTAAAATTTGCCGAATAAATCCTATCTAAAATGTACAAAATATGATGAGTCTGTACTCGCGATTTATCATTCCATACATATTTTTTGGATTTGTATATACAGGTTGACTCAAAAAAAAAATGAATGCGTGAATTTATTTTATTGATTTAATCAATAACTACAAAACCGAATGCTTTGAAATCTTGGACATGTTTTAAAGTTATCATAGGCAAGGCAAATTTTTAGTCAAAATATTTGCTAATCCCCCCCTAAAAAATTGATGACGTCACCTCAAAATTTTGCTAAATAAATCCTACCTTAAATGTGCAAAATATGATGAGTCTGTAATTGTGACTTATCATTCCATTCATATTTTTGGATTTGCGTATACCGAGTGACTCAAAAAAATTAATGAATGTTTGAATTTTTTCTCAAAATTGGATAACTCTGATATTAAAAAAATATTTAAATAAATAATTCGCGGAGTAGCCCATGAAAATGTATTTTGGGTTGCATAAACCCAACTATTACAGCGGACGCTATTTGTGAATCACTCTGTATAAACAGGCATAACACACTCCACGTGTTTCTATCTGCAAAAAACCTTTAGCATGACTAGTTGTTGACAGTTTTGCAATTCTTGATTTAATCAATAAAATAAATTGACTCAGTGATGAATTTTTTTTAGACACTCTGTATAACCAAATTTAATATAAATATTAATGCAGTGATAAATCACAAGTATAGACTTTGCACATTTAAGATAGGTTTTATTCAGTAATATTTTGAGGGGACGTCATCAATTTTTTGGAGGGGATAAGTAAATATATTTTGATTAAAAATTTATTATGCTTATCATAACTTTAAAACATCTGTAAGATTTCAAAACATTCGGATTTGCAGATTGAAACAAAAAATTTTGTTTTATAATTTTTATTTTTTTTTTTCAATAATTTGGACGTTTCCGGTAAAAATTCAACACGGAATCATAAACTACGTGAGTAGGACTATGTTATTTTATACAATTTAAAACCCATTTACTATGTACAACTTTGAAGTGACGTCATTACATTATTGGTGGGGATGATTAGACAAATTTTGGTTTTACCATCTGCATGATATTCCCAAAATAAATACAAAATTTGACAAGAATCGGCCCAGTACTTTCGGAGATTATCTGTCTAATAAAAATCCGCACAGACGGTGTCTACCGTCTGTCTAGACGGACGGACAGACAGATGGACAGACGGACCGACAGACAGACAGACGGAAACGGAAGATCCATTTCTTCGTACTCTTGGGATCGCGAAAGGTCGAGGAAACGTAGAAGTAGAGAGTCGGCCGACGGATTCGATTACAATACTTCCTTCGCTTACGCTCGGAAAGTAAAAATCGTACGGATTTATAAACCATAAATATAGCAATAGGTATGTTACTAAATTTTTACCTTACTTAACATTACAGACCTGCATTTGTTTTATGCGCTCACTTGGTTCCGCGAATGTGAAATAGACATGTTCATAATCAACCAATTGTGAATTTCACCGTCAAGAATTAAAATAAAACCCAATATTTCATATAATAAGCGGAAGTCGAAGCAATAAAACCGATGGTCGTTTTGTTTACAGTTTCTCTGTTTGACTCTCACGTATGCTGTTACGCTTGTCATCTTAAATTAAGAATGTTTATACATAAACGATTTTCAGTTGCCTTTCATATTACTAGACAGCGGATTTTTGTCGGGCTACGTCACGTTTAATCGGTACTAATTCCATAAATATAATTAACGATTTATTAATCAAACGGCTAAGTAAATGAGAACGGGAATTAACAGCAGAATGCAACGAAACAGCGTTATTCTAATCTCAAATAAACGAAGTGCAGTCCGCAACCGCAATGAATTCGCATCCCGTACGAGCCGTACCGAGCTTGGCCTTGCCTAGCCCGACAGAAATCCGCTCTCTAGATATTACACACCGACGCCGTATACGTGAGTAAATTGTTTCGTTATTTTATTGATTATAAGAAATCAATATTCAAAACGACCCAATTCATTTTCCCGAAAATTTGGGAATACAATAATTTTATTCTTAGTATTACACTACATCTATTCCAACTGATATACGTGTCCTTGCAAAAATGTTGATGACGTCATCACAATTTTTTTTAAATTCCCACTACAAAAATGTAATGGGAAAAAAACCACAATAGGCATGCAGTCGTCAAGTTTCCGACAGCGAGGGAAGTACTGTCTAAACTCTTTAGACCAATTTTTTTAGATAATTTACTATGTAACATTTTAAGGTGACGTTTTAACATTGTTGGTGTAGCTGATCAGACAAATTTTGGTCATATAAAATTTTAGAACAATCGGTCCGGAATAAAAGTCGACATGGACAAACGACAGACAGATCATAGACAGATGGCAGACAGACAGAGGACAAAGGCTAGGCCTAGGCCATGAAAAAGTGTGAAATTTGCCAAATGGAATTTTGCCTATTACATAATGTACATCCCCCGTTTACTTCTCACGCTTGTGAAGTAAAAGTCAAGAGTGATCATTCGTGTGAAATACATAAATATACTACAACTGTTAGAATAGAAATTAACTGTGATCCTACTTGTTTTTTGTCGATAGAGATATTACATAGAAACATCAGGTGTTATAAAAAACAAAACTACCTGAATCAAAACAGGAGCAAAAA